TTAAAAATGAACATTTTATTTATGATTATATTTATTTGTCCAATTACATTTGAGCCCCTAAAAATGGGGGGGGGGGTCTGTGTATAAAAATGTAATGTTATATTTTTTGTTCAACCCCTTGAATTAAAGCCTAAAGTTTGCACTTCAATCACATCTTCGTTGTTTTATTTCAAATCCATTGTAGAGGCGTATAAACGCCAAAGCACAACAACTCACTCAGTGTCTGAATAGTTTTACAAGGTATATGCATTTAAATGTTACCGTTTGTTTGGAAATACATTTACATTTATGCATTTATCAATGCATTTATTAGATGGAACCAACTATATACATATATATATATATATATATATATATATATTTACAATATACTATTTAAGATGTTTGTTGCTACACTATTTCTAGCAGCCTTTACGGTAACTGTCATCAAACCCAAGTTTGTCAGTTCTGCAGAACTACAGAAAGCAGCTTATATCTTACCCCCTGCTCGTCCAGTTTGAGGAGCGTGTCTCTGACTTTAGGGGAAGTGGAGGCTAGTCTGAGGCAATGTAGGTTGAGATCGGGCAAAATAAACTCCAGCAGTCTTTTGGGCGAAAGGCCGCGAGGCGTGGTGTGGCGCGCTGCGGAGGGAACAGACTCCTCCAGGATCGAACCTCTCAGGGTCTTCAGCTGCAGAAAAACAGCAGGGACCAAATAATTAATGAGTGCACAACCATAATGTAGATTTAAAGGAGTCATATATCCTATACATTTCTTATATTTATTTTCCCCACTGAGGACGATAATGTAATGTAGATTGATTTACAAGGCATTTGAATCTTGAGTCAGAATTTCATCTTACTTTTTGACCAAATAAAGCGGCTGCACCAAATGTGTGTATGTATTTATTTATTTACTGTTTTTCTCAGTTTGGGCTTCTGAGTAAAATTGAGGTGTTTTTTACTCCTCTTTCAGCTTCATATTCTCTTATACTATATGAGCCATAAAAGCCTAATTTATCAAATATAACACTCAACAAAAACACATATGCAAACGTTTTTTAATATTTTGTTTAGATAATGTACAGTATGTGGAAAATAATGTGTTTTTTTAACCTTAAACCGCATAAACACATTTCATTACACCAAATACACAAAATAATGTTCTTTTTAGCAGCATAATGTTCTTTTTACCCCTTTAATGTAATTAATAATGATTAATAATATGATGTTCAAATTTTGATTTAAAAAAAGAAAATGAAAGGGGAAATTTGTGCAAAAACATTCTAGTGATCATCTCATTCATTCCAAACTAAAAAACTCAAAAGCAGGGAGAGGGTGGAAAATTACCTAATTTCTGAGCATTTTTTCTGGTAGACATTAAAAGCATTTTGAATGGAAATTAATGCGTGAAATGTTTCAGAATCTTTAATGACATCTGTGTGTGAGAGAGTGTTGTATTTACTTCAGTGGTCCTGAAAATGATTCTGTAGTTGTACTGGGACCCACTTGATCCCTCTTTTTCCTCCCTGCGGAAACTGACGGCCACCGGCCCCAAACGCTCGTCCATGCCAAAGAAATTCTGATGGTCTGGAATAAAAGAGGGAAATGAAGATTTTAACAATTCATACAAAATCCTATAAATAAATGTGAAAATAACAGAAACAAACACCAGAATACTGAACAGCAGAAAAAGAGGAACAGTGATTGTGTAACCTTTAACGGCTCGCTACTGAGATGAACAAGCATGCATTACGGCTTAACTACTGTACAAACTGTATGACAGTGTCAAGAGAGGTTAATTGTGTTCTATACCTGTATTATGAGCGTAACATCCAAAGTGTTTTTTTTTTTCAACATATCCAACTCTACACTCGTTTTAAATAGCAAATTATTATTGTGACAAATTAGTGTTACAACCACAGGTGTATTAAAAATTAAGTCTAATATATTCCCTCCTTTTAGATTTCATATGCAACTATTATTACTACAGTAAAATGATACATTTTAGTAATTACGATGATGTGTAATTTAAAAAGAATGTCATTTATAAAAATGATTGTAAATAAAAAGACTGTAAATTTGCACATTGCATCCTCTGCAATCCTACCCTAGCATTTGAAAAATCTGAAATCTGATTGTACTTTGAAGTGCAGAATGAGTCATCAAAAATGTTGATCTGTACTCTCCGCACCCCTAGTTTGAGAACCACTGCAGTAACGCATACATTATCTAAAAAAAGTTACTTTAATTATAATAAAATACAGTTATACATCATATATAAAAGGCCACAATAAGAGGACGATAAGTGCCACTTCACATTTAACTAAAGGCACTGCTTGCTTATCTGGACAGACAGTCTTCCTGAAAACTGCAGACAAAAAAGTCTAGCATTTTAACTTGAAAAATATCTCTTTTTTTTTTATTCTGTTGAGCACAAAAGCAAGTCTAAAACAGAATGTTAGGGACTGACAGCCTTCTTCTGAACATCTCACAGCACTGAATGTGAATGGTGACTGTTGCCCAATCTGTTGTACTGTTGTGGGTGAATTTGCATTTTGTGAAGCCCAACACATATTTTGTGCTAACAGGCCATTTAAATGTCATTCACTTAACTTTTTCTGCACCACATTTGATGCAAATGGGCCTTTTTAGTCAGAAAATTTGGTCTTAGAAGACTAACAGATATAGAACAACAACATATACAAAAACAGTGAGTTGGTTTAACAAAGGCAATAAAAGAGAAAAAATGTGCAAATATTGCACCTTTATGGTTCCAACAGCTATTCACAGGGGCTTAAAGGGACAACTTTGTAACTTATCTACCATTAAAAGGCACATATTAGTACCTTAGAGTAGTAATACTGTATGTAGAAATACCCCTTAAGCTACAACTATGAACATTTCTGGGGCAAATATGTTATTTATCTTTAAGGTGCACTTTAGTGCCTCAGAATAGTAATAGAGTATAGAGTAGTGTGCAGTATGTAGTAGTAACCCTAAAGGTACTTGTATGAACATTTTAGTGGTAACCCTTATCCCTTACCTTCGTGTAGTAATACTGTATATAGTAGTACCCCTTGGGTACTTCTACAAACCTTTTAGAGGTAAATAAAACAAGTACCTTGGAGTAATAATACTTTATATAGTAGTAGCCTATAAGGCAGTGGTTCTCAACTCCAGTCCTGGTGACCCAGTGCTCTGCACATTTTGTATGTCTTCCTTATTTAACGCACCTGATTCAGATCATCAGTTCAACTGATTATTGCAAAACCAAGTCAATGGCCATGTGTGACCTGCTTGTACAAAGTACACACAGTTACAAAAATTGAATGGTGCTTACGGTATAGTACGCGCATACTATTTTGATGATGAAATCTGTATCACGCACATTCTATGCAGACTCTCGCGTAACTATACAGGACATTTATTAATGTGTTTTGGCCATTCATTTACACGACAACTGCGTTTTGGAGGCTTGAAAACACAAAGTGCAAGTTTTTGAAAATAATATCATCTCTGTGTAAACTATGAAAACACAAATTCGTGAAAACGGTGACGTCATGCGCATGCATATTACATGTTCAGTCTATAGGAGTAAGTATGCGTGCAGATACCTAGTGATTCTTTACAAGGTGACATTGCCAACTACTGGCCTGGCATGCATTATACTGCGTATTCCGTTGTTTTAGCAGATCTTCCTAATTTAACACACTTTATTCAGATCAGCAGCTCCATGAACTGAACTGAATGTGTCAGACAAGTGAGATATACAAAATGTGAGGAGCAGTGGGTCCCGAGAACCGGAGTTGAGAACCACTGCCTTAAAGGTCCCTATGAGCACCTTAGAGTAGTAATACTTTATGTAGTAGTACCCCTTAAGGCATGCATTCCCAATCATGTTCCTGGAGATCTACCTGCCTGCAGAGTTCAGTTCCAACCCTGCTTCAGCTAGTTTGGGTGTGTTTGATCAGGGTTGGAGCTGAACTTTGCAGGAAGGTAGATCTCCAGAAACAGGATTGGCACCCCAGCCTTAAGGTACTATGAACCCTTTAGGGGTAAATAAGGTGGAAAGGTGTCCCTCAAAGCACCCAGTGACAAGCTGTTGTGCCCCAAAAAGTATGATTTTTGCACATTTTTCTGAGAGTAAAGTAGACTAAGCAATGAAAATAAGTAGGGCTGCCCCCTAATAGTCGACTAAAGCCGCGGTCACACTAGACTTTTCGTTCCATTGACTTCCATTCATAAGCATGCGAATGCGTCAGACCGGAAACGCAAGCCCGTGCGAAGATATTTCGCATTTCGCTGCATAGAAAAGTTCAAGTTTGGTGAACTCTGACCTGTGAATTCGCATCACGTGATACCGTGTGACCAACGGCAGATCGATACGTCACAGCATGACCTCTTATCGGAATTAAAAGAACATAAATTTAAAACTGCAGCGCTGCAGGAAAGTAGAGTGGATTGTATGCTTTTACATTTTAGATGTATTATAATTTGTTACATGTTGAATTTAAGTTTTTAAAAAGAGTCTCAAAATCTAGTGTGAATGCGGCTTAACAGTTAGTTGGCGAGAAGAGGCTTAGTCGATCAAAATTTTCTTAGTCGCAGAAAAAAAAAGAAAGTGGCAAAGTCAAGTAGTCCATGACGGAAAGATTATTAACAGCTGGTCTGTGCGGTAATTACAGTACATCAGTCAGGACATGCAAACGTTCATTTCGTTCATCGACCTCAAACGTGGCTTATCATCTGAAACATGTAAGTAACAGCATCATTACATGGCCGCTAGCTTTAACGTTAACCTAGAAAAATGTGCACTATTGAAGTGTTTGTGCGGAGTGTGGAAGCTGAACAGTAGTGCGCTCACTGCATGACAGTTAACTTGGAGGAGCCGGTGGGATCATTTGCATTTAACTTAAAATACTCTGTCCTTTTTGCTCATACAGATAAGAGTAATACATTCTTTGAATCTGAAAAAGGTCCACTTTCGTGTACGTGCACTCACAATAACAACAAAATGTTGTGCTTTTGTAAAATAATGAAAACAAACAGGATATGCTTTCTGCCGTCAGGGTCTCTGTGAACTTGCGTAAATAATTAATAAATAAATAAATAAAATGAACCAAAACTCCATGCTTGCCTCTCAGACATGAAAAATGTATCAACAGAGAGCGAAATTTCTACTTTTAAATGAACCAATTCAAATGGAAAGCAAATATTTTCAGATTATGCAATCCGTAGGAAACGTGAACGTCCATTGTGGAGATGACGAGTCAGTGTCGTCAACTTCATCTCGTAAGCCAAAAATACAGAAAACACTGGTTTATCAATGAATTATTATAATGTTAAAGGCACAATATGTAAGTTTTCGTCGCTAGAGGGCACATATTCAAAACAAACAAGAAACAAAAGCGTAGTTTGATGATGCCGTGACTGAGTGTGGAATCATGGGTGTTGTCGTCTTCATCGCCACAGCCGATGCAGTATGTGGGGTAAAGCAGCGGAGCTTTTATTATGCCACAGTCGACCACTTCCGCTTCTTCCGGTCATGCGTATGTGGGGTAAAACAGCGCTGTTTTATACTAGATACATTTGAGTGTATTGAAATTTCTGTTATAATGCTACTCTGTGCGTTTGTCACCTGTCTAATAAAATGCAACATATTAAAGTGTCTTTGGGGTTTCCATGTTTTCAACAAAATAAAACCGGAAAAATCGAGGGGTTATGATGTCATTGGCAGGCGATGCAATGACACAATGGACACGGTCCGTTACACTAGTTAAAATTGCTTATTTCTCTGGATTTAAACATTCTTCAAAACATTTGGGATAATGTAAGTACACAAGTCAGCAAAATATATAACTAGTGGTTTTGGGATATTTTAATCAAAAAATCTTACATATTGTGCCTTTAAGGCAGTCTTCTTGCTGTTTTCTCCCTAAAGCATTCATAATCATTACTTCTGTGGTGCTCTGTGGCAAGCTTTATGTGTGCGCTTGAGCACTTATAGGCTATAGGCAATTAAAGGATCATTATTATGAATTATATGGTTTATTAACATAAACGTGCGATTAGTTGACTAATCACTTCAAATGAACAACTATTAGTCAATCAGAAAATCTTTAGTTGATGGAAGCCCTAAAAATAAGTATGTGATATGTTTCTTCAAAAAGTGCAAACATGCTTCGCCGCACACAAACTCTCACCTTTCATGTAAAAGTACTTGTGATAGTACCGAGCCCCCAGGTCTGCATGCTCTATGAAGTAGTTACTTTTCCCCTGTGCCTGGACATGGCTTTCCCTGGGCTCCTCTAACACGGACACAGCATTGTTGGGACTTTGAAGACTCCTCCACCTGTGCCTGCCGGCCCGCGGCAGGCCGAGCCCCACACTCTCCTCGCCACCCATCTCATTTCGAAAGTGAGGACAACTGAGCAGGAGATCATTATCGTTCCCATCTCCTTCGTCCATCAAGGACTGCTCTAGATCTTCCGAGCCAGTCCCGCTTCCCGAGCAACCCCCTCCGCCCTGAAAACATGAGGAAGGTGTGGACTGTGAAAGCGGACGGAGTTGAGAGGCAGCTGACGCTCCGGATGTGATGTTCTTCTTGCGCCCGATGCTGTCCCGATTGGTTGCAGCCTCCGACAGGTCGAAGAGGATACTCTGTACATCATAGTGTGCAAAATTGCGTACCCAAGCACCACCTGGGACTTGGTCACAGGAAAACTGAGGGGCCTGTGTAGGGGACGGTTTGGCCTTCTTCCCGAGCCCCTCTGGTTTGGGGGGCTTGACCGGTTTTGACGTGTCTGGTGCTGGGGCACAGTTTCCTTGATACACGCCGTCCACCTCAGGAGGTGCCTCTTGCAGACCCAGCAGAAGAAACGGATCTCTGAAGCGCAAGGCATTGGGACTGAGAACACCTTGATCTTCCAAACTGGGATCTACAGTCTGGGTTTGTCTTTCAAGTGAGGACAGGCTACCATACTCTCGGTGGAGGGACTCGCCCTGCCCAGCGGTCCCAGATTTGTCGCCCCCTACTCGGAGCAACTTCCTTCCGACTTGCCCCGCTGAATCCAAATCTCCAAGGGTGACGTCACTGTTGCTGCGCTGCATTATGTGTCCACGACCTACTGTCCTCAGATTCAGCGCAGCTGCACTGGGTGTGACACTCTCACTGTTTGTTCCCTCTCCCTCTCTCCTAGGGGGCCATTCTAACAGGACTCGTGTCCGCACGCTACCACCATCCTGCTTGGGGTCAAAGTTCACTCTCACTAGGGGTGGGCGTGGGCTCTGCCTGCGAAACTTGCGGATGAAGAGATCGTCTGACTGCATGATTTGAAGTTGTGGGAAGCTCTGACTTTTCAGTTGCCCTTGCCCCTTTTCTTATGCCTCCGCACCAATTTACTGCATCTGTGTGAATAAGTCAGGAGTTTTTGGGGAACTCAAGTGACTGGCACAAATGTTTCTTGTTCTAGCCATGAACACTGAAATTCTCCAGCGCTTCCAGCAGATCTCCGTTCGATAGGTTCCTCATTCACTAAAATATTCAGAAGGGCTGAGCGCAACCTTCTGCCTTGGAATAAAATAACAGCCGTGCAGGCTCCAGAGATGATTTCAATCTCTCGGTAAACATCTTAAGTTCTGACATACTGGATTACTCTCATCATAAATGTTATAGGATGCATCCAGCAGAATGACTATGACTGTATGAGGACTGACTGAAATTGGATTCCCAGTCTGGTTTATTTTGAGATATTCATTTACCATTAAAGGGGTCATGAACTGCATTTTTTAGTATTTTATAATGTTATCTGAAGTTCACTTATAATGTTAGTGTGATTTTACGTAAAAAAAAAAAAACATCATAACTTAGAAGTAATAGGCTATTTTCTATCCTGTTTTTGACCCTCTCTGCAGAACGGTCTGTTTTTATAGGCAGGGCACATTCAAGACTCGCAAGTAAATGCCCGCTTATTAAAATACACCTTTACTTAAGCTTATGTGTTGCGACATTACTACTGGATCAAAAATAGTCTTACTTTCAGTCTCTCTGAAAAGCCTGCATCATATTGTCTTGTTAAAAATCAATCCGTAGTAAAGTAAAGCAAACAAACAAACGGTGTTTCACTGATGCGATCTGGAGCTCTTTGCTAATTTTACCCCGTGTTTACACCGGACGTGAGCGGCACATCGCGACTATACACAACAGAACCAATTATAATCAGCAATTCTGTTTACACTGGTTGCAGCACGGACTGACACAACAAATCTCCGACAGTTAACTAATGTCGCGTTTTATTTCTGACACACTCCAAGCATTCGCGCTGCTTCTGACCTGAAAGAGAAATGGATGTGCAGCAGCGCTTGCGTCCGATCTAGATAAGGTGTTAGGATCCCAACGAAGGCAATTCAATTACTATTTTTCACAACTTAAGGTCCTTGCACACTGAGTCCGAAATTTTTGCATGTGTTTTTCCGTTTTTTCGTCGACCTTTACACTACATCGTGTCTTGTAATCTTGTAATGTCATCTGTATGGTTGTGTTGATGGCGTAATCCTCTGTTTGCACCTCTCTAGTATTTCCTCTCCTCCTACTACAAGTGTGTATCAGTGGGCGGAGCTAAACAGGCAGCGATGTAGAAGTAGGCACTGATCTTCTCCCGCAGAGGCGGTGTTTAGCCACACTATTATGTCATAAAGTGGCACATTCCAAAACGAGTCGTTTTCTGGGCTTGGTTTCAAAGTTTTTAAACTAACGAGAAAGTTTTGAGTTTTGAAACTTACAGGATGTTTTTATAATACATTGACTTGTTATATGTCAAAAGATCAACTGAAATTTGATTTCTCAGTTCATGACCCCTTTAATGAGGAAGGTAATGCTTTCCACATATTTGCTAAACCTTGAAAATGAATATAAAAATAACTAGTTTGCTCACAATTAAACTGCACAAAATAACCTTTTAATTCAGAGCCCCATGAAATCCATTTTATTTTCCACTAAATTATGTTTTCTGTTTATTTCGTTCTTCTGAATTCTGTGTTTTATGATTTAATACCATTTATAATTACAAATTATATCTAATGAAAATCTAATATTTAATTCACAACAAAACAATGCATTTTTATTTTTTGTCAAATAAGATGCTGCATTGCAGAAGTGTATACATTAAAACATGGATTAAAAATGTATTGATTTAAAAATAATAATGATAACAATAATAATAATGATGATGATGATGATGATGATAATAATAATACTTTGAGAAGTACATTTTATTATCCAATAGTAATATATTTCTGTCATAATTTCTTAAGTTAAACCAAACTTTTATTTTGGCAGGATGTCATGAAGATCTTTGAGTTTCAGTGTGTTTTTGACAGTAGTTTTTTCTCAAATGAAACAGTGTATAGCTGGTGAACTGATTCACAGAGAAGACCTGGAAGTAAAGTTCATGTGTACATGTCCCCATATACTGAGGTGCAGATGCTGAAAGCAACATGAGCAAAATGTGAGTTTGAGTTTGTGTATCAGATGAAAATACGCCACTCATTTACACAGAGACACACAGAAAATGCAAACTTATTACAGTAGCTACATGCACTGACTGGCTGCTGTCACATTTATTTCTGCTGTTACATTAATCCATATTGAGTACAAATGTCCAGAGCTTATCATCATTAATGACATGCATTTCATCACAATCTCGATATGATATTGTTTATCGCCCAGCCATACTCCAGTCTAGGCTTTGTTTGCTCCAGTACACATATTCTAGTTCCATTTACTAAGTAAATTCACACAAAACATGTTAACCTCCCCTAGGCAGTGATGGACCCTGCAGAGGTGACACAAGCATCGGCCTATAGCTCAGTACAGAGCACAGCTGGTCTTCTTACCACTTACCTAAAAGATTACGATTTCAAGTGAACCGCCAAATTAAGATGTAACCAAACATGCCCCGTTCCTAATTTACACACACTGACATACAATTGATTTGATCTGCATATACAGGCTCTTTTTGAACCAGGGACTGCTCACATTAAGAACAAAGGCAAAAACAAAAGCCATGTATGAACTTCAATGTTATATATACACTCTACATGTGGCTGTGTAATTAAGCATGTAATACCAGACACACACATGTATCTAACAAATCATGCACATTTGTCTTGCAATAAGGGGGGATAAAATCACAGGCCTATTTAAACACCACAGCAAACATGAAGTGAAAAGGTAGAACACTTTTCATTTTTATACACTTCCTTTCTGTCAAAAATAGCATAGAGACTATGGCGTACATCAGACCACATCCACCCAGCAGACCTGCACAATAGCTGCTCTGCTCACAGGAGGAGGGGGCTTCCTGCAAACTTTGCCAATACATCGGAAAGTACTCATAAAATATGTAACATTGTTTGCCAAGATTTTTAAGTCCAGGTTGCATGATTTTTGCCTTGCTATTTGCTTCTGCACACACCCTCTTTCAGGATCTCTATATATGCATTCAGGTTTCTTGGGGAAAGAAGGAGAGGAAGATTAATGTCACAGACACATGCCTGATAACGTTTATTTTAACAACAAAACTTAATCTCATCTGAAATATTATGGTGCCCATTGTGCAAATGATAAAAAAAAAAAAAAAAACTATGGCAAGCAGTTTACATTGTTATCATGCTGCATTTGTAAAAAGCCTATTTAAAACTCTCTTATTGAGTAATTATAAAAACTCCAAATACAGAACTAGAGGTCGACCGATATGGGTTTTTCAATGGCCGATGCCGATGCTGATATTTAGAAATCAGGCCAGCCGATGGCCGATATATGATGCCGATTTTTTTGGCCGATATGTTTGGCCGATTCCCCCCCCCTCATAAAAGTGAGTTTGAGTAAATGATTATTGCAGGGTACAAGATAGTAATAGTAGTAGTAGCCTAATTCAGAGTAATAATACATGGCTCAAAACTTAAGCACCTTCTCAAAACAGTTCTGAAGCATGCTTTTTGTTTATGTTTGCTGACAGACACCAGTGTTTCCCACAGACTTGCAAATGCAAATTCATTCTCCGCCAGCAGGAGGCGCTGTTGCAGCGGGAGATATAGCGGCTTCCCCGGTAACGACTGTAATCAAATAAGCACTGTGACTGCGCTCACAAACGCTACTTTATCAGGCATTACAGGAAAGACGAAATGAAAATGACACCGAAGCTTTTCTGAAGACCGTCGGTTTTTTCAAAGATACTTTCATATAAAAACACTCACGCTGCATTTTAATTTTCAAACGTGCAGTGATCAGTTTATTCAACGAAGTAATAACTCAATGTATGGGAAACACTGGACACTGCTATAAGTCAAATGGCCAAGTGATAACAAAAATAAAAGAGTTCACACATATTACA